GCTCCTTGACGTGGTTGGAGTTTCAACCCACTTTTCTGCTGCACAACTGAGCACACAAAGGAGCTTGAATTTGAATCGAAAATTTTAGCGCGGAGTTTTGAGTTGGCTAGTTGGTCGGTGCCTTCTTTGAGAGGACCGAACGTTGTTTCAACTGCTCTCCTTCTTCTGTCTAATTCCTCCTTCATGTAGTCCTCCATGTGCAGCAGGCATCCAAAGTGCAGGTACGAAGTGGTTTCTTTATTCGGAAAACCATCCAGTCTGATCTATTCGCCTTCGCACCGTGGGATTTTCATTAACTGGTTTTCAAGAACTGGATCTTCTTCCGATTTATGCGCAGTGCCGTCTCTTTTCCCTTGCGCTCATTCACCATAGTCTCTGCTTCGTTAGTAGTATCTGAGAAAATGACGATGCTAGATAAACGAAGATTTGACAGAAATTTGCCATTAATTCGCATGCCGTTTTCGTCCCAGTCAAGCGACTTCATTCTCCACTGCGCAGTGTGGCAGTAAACAACTTCGTCGAAATAGTCCCACCTGACCACCTTTTCCTATGCGTATGGTAAGAGGTCGTTGGGAAAGCTGTATCTTCGTAGCCAAGTTTTGATAACAGCAAGAGCTACTCTGCAAGATACGTCCACCCCTTTGTAGACGAGCGTTATCCAAGCTGTTCGGAATACGAGACAATACTGAGAAAATGTTCTAAAATTTTCCAAACATTTTACTACTTTTTAAAAAATTCCTGGCAAAAGTTTTACACGCGATAAATGCTTGTGGAATGACGGGAAATGGTGTAGGATACAGATGTTCTCTTACTGGAGTCCCAGGAGAGTCCTGCCAAACCATCAGAGGCAGTCGCCAATCGCTGTGAGGTTTCACAGCCAATTAACGATAGCTACGGGGTTCTTCTACGGCTTCATCCGTTCTTTACAGTTATTTATTTTTAAGTGAGCATTTGTATAAAAGTGTTGAAATTCTTTACTTTCATTTGCTATAGTTACAGTTTTTGTTTTAATCAGACAGTACTCCATAGGTGAATGTAGGCGGAGTATCATCCTTAGAAACGCTTCAATGTCTTGTTTTCTTCACTCAAACGAGGGCTTTTCGATCCCGTTAGTTGTGCTTCCTCAAAAGATTTCCACTTTTAATAACCTTCACGTGACCTTAGTTTTGTTTCATAATCATTTTTAGCATCGCAATTCATGGTGGGTTTTTTCCGGGAATTTTTCTTGTTCCTATTGGGTTGATCATTGACTTATTCAGGACCTGCATTCGTGTTCAAGTCAGATTTTTACTGACCGAGACGAGAGACAACTTCGAGAGAATCCCGACGGGCAGGAGACATAATGAAGGATCGGGAACATTCTTCGTCACCATTCCGCCAATCACTTAATTCTTATTGCTCTTCGGTGATTTTCTTTCTCGTTACGGGTTCCGTAAAGTGGCATTAAGGCTCTGATTTTCTCACATAATGATCTCCAATACCAATCGATAATCATGGTTTATTGTGTAGTGGCTATGACCGGCAAAAGAAATCAATATTAAGTCAATTAGGTAGTCAACCCGAAAATTCTTCAAGAATTGAAATGGTATAATCTAAAGTGGTCAAAAATATGGGTGAATCAAAAAACATAGCCGTATCTGTTGAAGGGAAACTAAAAGTGCTCTTCAAGGAAAAAACAAATTATACAAAAAAAAGAATAATGATGTTTTTTCATCAGAAACAAACATGGGTTTTCAGAAATAGAACTCTAACCGTTAAGAATATTGTGTGCACTTTCTTCAGTGGTATAGTGATTGTTCTCTTAGTTCTAAGCCCCAATTTTAAGGGCTAATGATTAACAGATTACGAGAATATGGCTTAGTTCAGTGAGAAGCCATTCGAATATTCGACTATGAGAATCCAGTAAGAAGAATTTGTCTGTCTCGGATACTATGTATGTATATGTTTTGAGTTGGTTCTGATACTATATAGATCAATTTTCATCAATTTCTATAATCCTCGACTCCTCTTATCGATCGATGCGGGTTTATTCGGTCATTGCTTTCTATTGTAAGACATAAAGTCTTGTACTGATAGCGTTTATCGTGCACAGAATATAAACAATCCATTGTAAATACATGTTACGAATTTTGACGTTCTGCCAAGGATCTGCTCTTACGTAATGAGGCGTCTCGTTGTTTGGAAATCATCACAATAGAGTCGACGTCAGCCGACGATGACGATGACATGAAATCACTACAAATTCGTTGTACCCTCTCCTTTACGGCCATTTTGATATGTTTATTTCGCAACTGGTCCGATCGTCTCTTGTACTGCTAAATTTAGTACTATTTTTATTCAAAACCGATTTTCTTCGTATGAAGGCGAAATGAGGAAGGCGAAATCCGCCGAAACGTCAGCTTAATCGTGAACAAAGAATAATAACACCTCGCGTTTGCTCAACAAAAATACGAAGAAAATCATTTGATCAATGCTGAGGTTAATAGAAAGTCGGTCGTGGCAGTCAAAATCGATTGCTTTTCATAGGATTACGGTCTACTAAGTCACATCTACATTGTAGAAATTGGATGAACTCCGTGGTTTTTGCGGTTTCGAAGTTCACAGGCTAAGGTATAACGGATAAAGCGGTGCTTGTTCATCATTTCATTAGGAATTCACCAAGTATTCAACTTCATTCGTAATATCTAGTGGTGAATGAGTGCATATTTGGCCCAATAATGACTTTCGGTGGCCTATCGATGTGCCAAGTCAGCACTGCTTTCCTCCCAAACAAGTACTAATTTACCGACCCCGGATGGGTGGAGGTCTTGTGCAGACTGGAGCGCAGGATCGAACCAATAAGCAGATGTCTCGCGGGACACACATATCTAAGCATACCGTTACACATGTCCCTGGTGTTCAGAAAGGTGTAAAATTCATGATGTTATAAATGAATACATTCAGTCACCGCTATGATTCTTGATAGAATCGAATGCATGGCTCATTCTCAAACGATAGATCAAAACCGAATGATTTCCTGTCTGTTCACTTAGTTATGAATTAGCGTATTCACCCAGAGTACCTATAGCTTTACCACCAGGAATCTACACACTTACCAGTTTTTCATGAATAGCTAGGGAATCCCATTGAGCAGCAACAATGCGAGAAATATCACCAAATGACGCTTGTGGATTAGATTTCTTCACCAGAATTTGTCGTTCTCTGAAGAAGATCGCATAAGCGGACACCGGCCTGAAATTTCCAGAAATTCGACTGGTTGTTATCGATTAACCAAAGATGACGCCATCTAATATAAATAGCGAGGGATGGGTAGCACAGTTATAGTAACGCCTTTCGTCACGAGCACGGTGCTAGTTCGAACCCGCAGTAGGCTTACCAAGTCTCTCATCGATCCAGTATTAGCAAATTATCACCAAACTTATCTGAAACAAGCCCACTCAACTCGCTATTGTATAGGTCGTATTACGTGTCAAAAAAGTGTATGCTACTTATAATTCAGCGGTTATGGTCTCTACTTGGACTTTATCTTTTCATTCAATGAATAATTCAAGACTTTCTCCGTCGTGAACGAGCGAATCCAGAATGAACGATGGATTACGTTGCCCTAGGCGATCTTTCAACGATGACGGTCGGCTTAGATGCCTTCGGCACAAAGCCGGGTGCTGAAACAGAAAAGCGCACTATTTCCTCGCATGATTTATCCTTTTCGAAGACCATTCACGAAAAAGAACAAAAAAGCATTCTCGACCTCAAAACTTCAGTCATGATGAATCGCTCTTCCGTTCGACTATGTGCCTCGAAAGAGCACAATGGATTTCACGATTATTGTCAAAATTTGTTAATGCCCTTTACAGAATTATTTAGTGAATTCTATGAGTCCTCCTTAAAGGTCTACGGCTTCAAATTTAAATTTGGAGGTAACTTTTGGTTTTGTAATGGGTTCCAACTCACAGATTCACCTAGCAATACGGCATTCATTCATATTGAACATAAAGTGAACTCTTAGGAACTCAAATTCACAACACAGAGTGAACCACTATTTCGTCTGATATGTGTTAGTTACATGGTTGTTGTGAATACTCTGGCTCAATTTTTGAGAATATTCCGGCTCAACTATCTTAGAATCATAAGCGTTCACCTCGAATTCTCATACTTAAGACATTCTTCCGAATCCACCATAGAGCCATCAGTTTGCGTCACCGTGTTGTTAGGGTTTCTTGTTTGAAAGAAAGTCGGTTGAATTGAGTTCCAGTCAACGTTGGTGTACGGTATGTGATACATAGAGAAATCGTCCATCTAAAAAATACTCTCACTTCCATTTTTCTCCAAGTAACAAGTAAATTAGTAAAGCAATTTCAGCCAAATTTCAAAATAAGGCGCCAATATAGATGTTATGGACAAAACAATGGAACAACACTTTCGCTTGGGTTCGATGCATTATTCTTACAAGAAACCATATTTTTCTTCAAAAGTCTCGCCTTCATTGCAGCAAGCACTTGAACAGGACTCGACCTTAATGACTGCATAGATTTGAACTGACTTAACTTTCGTTTACTCCAAGTATTAAATGTAGTCACTTTCTGGACATTTGATAAATCAAGAAATGCATCAGACCTGTTCAGGATAACGCCAAACCAATCTACGGCCGATAATGTGAAATGTGGACAGGACATATTTTAGTAAAGAAAAGCAGTTGAGGAAAGGATTTCACTGTTGCTAGACACAACAAATGTCATTCAAAAGGCGGATCCTTCAACAAATTCCCACTCATTAACGTGTTGCTAGTGGATGGTAATTAGATGTTGCCTATAGAACATCTTTGACTCGAAGCATATGTCGTATTGCGTCATATCGGGTAATCCTTGAAGGTGTAGGACTAATGGGAGCAACGTTTTCTTTGCACTGCACACTAATCTCTTTGTTTAGCAATGATAAAATCTGTCAATCTTAAAACCAAAGTAACTAGAGTGAAATCTGTGATGAAAACGCCACATGTATAATTATCCTTGAAACTTTATCCATCGACTAAAGATTCTACAACAGAAACCAGTTAAAAATCAACAACAGTAACGAGGCAAAACAACCAACAAGAATATGAAGACGAAAGACATCTTTAACACGCATGAGTAGAAATCTCGATTTTTCTATACTTTTCAGAATCCGGGAAATTAACACTCAAAAACAAACGTAATCCTTCGGATAACAATGGATCCTTATCTTTAACAAAAATTGGGCTGAAAATTCTATGGAGTTTCTGTATAGGGCATAACGATAGTAGCTTGAATACTCGGCGAATGACAGACGAGACAGCCGCCGATAAAGTGCCCCATTCCACTACCTGGAAATCGCTTAGTAGTTCCATCTAGCAAACTTATCTTAATTTCAGTAACCATGACCACACAAGCATACCTTAAAAACGGTGATAGATACAACCTCATGTGAAATGAGATAATGGATGAGATCTGCAAGACGAGAGCGCGATCGAGTTTTGAGCGTAGCTATTTCTTTAATTCGATCCCATAAAGCATATTGCGTGGTTAGCTGGAATAAATTTCTTCAAAGAACAAGCATTCATTGGATCACGTTGTACAAATGGAACACACCAAATCAACAATTCCTTCACACATAAGATTACAGTGGAAATTATTCCTAGAATACCAAAAAAAAAATCCTCGAACGTTTCATTTTTAATTACTAAGGACTAAAAATATCGACAGTAACATAATATCTGTAACCTCCGCTCCCTTTATCATCATGCAAAAGAGCAGTAATAAAATGACACTTAAAATGAGGCTATACTGGGACATCTATTGTCATCGAAAAACATCTGACGCCCAGAAAGGGTTTAGAGCTCAGCTGGAGCTCAAAAGAGTTGATCAAAGACACAAAGTGACAATGAGAAATAAAAAACAGAAAGACAGAGAGACAAGGAGAGAATTTACACCTCGGTCATAATGGCATATATGGTTAAACTAGTATGCAAAATCTAATACCAAGAGTTCAGGAAAATACTTCACATTAGAGGCATGATTCGATGAAGAATGAAATAACCACACGGTCTGGAAAACTTCACTATTCGCCATCAAGCCTGGCCACTGTCCCGTTCAGTTAAAAATTTGTGTCAGTTATATGTTGCGTAAGAAATGCCAAGGAATTCATATCAGGAGCAACGGGACCACCACTTCGTGGTGCCCTCCATTGGCAAACAGTTCAATACAATGCCTTACTTAGGTGCTATACACATAGTTCAAAAAGCATTATTCTGCATAACAGTAAGCCTCAGCAACTTGGTTACGTCACAAAGAAAAACAGTTCGTAGACGATGAGTCGAGTGGGTCTCTGATATAAACTGGACTCCTTATGAAGATGAGCTTACAATTAATCAAGATAGTAGTGGGCAGTTTTGATTTAAAAAAAACCATGTATCTCTAAAGTCGAAGAAAAAAGAATAAGAAAAAAAAGTAGGACAAGAATGAAAAGAAACTAAAAAAGACATCGTTAACATCGAGGAATCAAATTTCAAAAAAAAAACCAAAAGAAAAAAACAAATAAAAACCTAATGAACCGACCACAAATCTCTTGTTGAAGTCACAAAATCGTGCAATCAGTAGCGGATAGAATGTGTTGAAGCTTTTTTCTCCCAACAACATCGCAATCAATACGTAAATAATTTCACGTTCTTGCTGACCTTTTAGCGAGAGACGCAATAGTTGTTCAAACGCAGAATCCTCATCATCCGAAGTCGCTGAAACGTGGCATAAGAGCATCTATTTTTACTGCACAATTTTCATCTGTCAGTGTTTAAAGTGCAGACAAACTGTCCTACCCACTGTGCAGAAAATATTGCGACGAACATCTGTGTTCATTTTTGCTTTTCGAGCGAGTTTCACTATATCATCAGGAAAGGACTGAACAATTTGTGAAGACTTGGTAGTGTTCATAGCTGATGAACACTCATTAGGCACTTGATAAGCAGAACCAACTATCCACCTGAAAGTTGCACAAAGTACTTCTTTTATAAGAAAGGAAGAATTCAAAACAGAACAAATTAAAAAGAGTGAAAACTCGGGTTTTAGATACATTGAGAAAACATAAAACAACGAAGAACATCAATCGCACGCACCAGCGTCCTCGATCATCAGCATTAAGGATATCATCGAGAGACATACCAAGTTCCTTACCAGATACTGATTTATTCTCTGGAAATTATCGTCGTTGAAGGTATCGTAGCAGTTGAGACAAAATTGAAACAAAAAACCCCATACTTTTTCGTAGTCCATAGAAAAGCTTCAAATGATGCTCAAAAATCGACGTATCAATGCCAGTTGGGGGACTTTTTTGAAGTGCCAGTAAACTTTCTCCAAGAAATTTAGCTCTCGGCCTAAAAGTAAACTATCTAGAGACAAAAGGATAAAGGATAAAGCTCCTGGAGTTGATCAATCCCTGAGGAATGCGCCATGCATTCGAGTTCCTTAAGCGTCGTTTGGAGATGACTGAATGCATATTTTGCCTTTACAATGACTCGCGGTGGTCTACCGGTGTACCGAGCCATTGCTGTCATAGTCCCAGACAAGTCTGGTGCCAATTTGCAGACCCCGGATGGATGGAAGGCTTGATGGGCCACCAGCGCGGAGATCAATTCTACGTGCGTGTTGCAGGGCGCCTCCGACCACTACTCCACACGCGCCTTCCTATAACAACCATTTAATCACCTCCAAACGATGTAGAGATACGAGCGAAAAATTACACGTTTTTCAAACGCTTTGTTCTCAGAAATATTACTTACAAATCACAAAACTCAGCCTCTTCAAGGGCTGCTGATGTCTTTGACATCTCACATAAAAATCCAGACCAGAACTGCCGACGTAGTATTTTGTATGAGTCTGAAAGACCCACAAGCAAATTAAAGATAGGAAAAGCAGAAATATTTTAAAAAACAGATGTTTAGAGAAACAAAGGTGGAAACGAATTGTAAAGAGTAGCTATGTACTTTAGCAAACATACATGTAGAAAGCACGACAATTAACTGCAAGCTGTCCACATTCAGATGCTCTCGCAGTTTTTCAAACACTTCTAGTATAACTGTCCCTTTTACTAACTGAAAAAGAAGTGAAGAGGGTACTTGTGGGGCAACTAAGTAAACATGGTTATTATCAATATTGATGGAAACCGTTAATACATAATAGTATACTCACGTGAAAATTCAGCAAGTGAGCAATGAAAACAACGCAATTCTCCAGTTTTTTATCATCCAGTGGTTGCATAAGCCGGATGTCTTCAATGAATTTATGCAAGAAATCCTCAACGAAGTAGGCAGCTGCAAAACACTATTCTCTCCTAAAAAAGTGACAATAAGATAAAAGAAAACGTACAGATCTCTTCACTTGTCGACATATGGATATAAGCCAAGAAAAGGGCATACAGTGATAGCAGTTGGTCTTGTAGACGGTATGGCACACAAATCAAACGGGACAAAGCACGACACACACACGATTTAACATCTAGAAACATGAAAATAGTAATGATGCTAAGATATTTGCAAAACTCTGGAATGTAGGTGTCTGTGATGGGAACGAACGTGCTATTACCCATTGCGGGGGCTAACGCGTTCAACACCACACCACACCGTTCCTTCGTTTCCCCTGTCTCCTAGCTAGTTTTCTATCGATCAATGCCACCAGCAATCACCACTCAATGGCACTGATCTGGGGAACGCAAATCGCTTCTGAACCCAGTCAAGCTGAGGTTGAAGTTGAAATCACAATATTAACTTTTTGTTTGCTGTTTATTACAATTTTTTACGGCAGGATACTATGTGAAATACACTCGTAATGATGTTGGCGTCTGGAAAAGATAAAAGCGCGTTCGTTCCCCACCGCATACACCTACGATCCGGACTTTTGCAAATATCTCAGCACCATTGCGGTTGTACTTCACATAGCTCCCTGCCGTAAAAATTGTAATAGGCAGCAAATAAAAAGTTAACATCATGACAACATTGTTTTACAGTTGTACTCAAGCTTCAAATATGAAATAAAACATGCCATTTTTAGAGTATTTCTGCCATATCTCAGAAACAACCTGACTGCTTCTCACAAGTGTTCCCTCAGATAACCTGTAAGACAATATCCCTTCAAATCAGGGTGCATAGAAAAAACTATGAAAATGAGCAGCTACAACCTGTTCATTGTTCCTACGAGTATACGATCTATTTGCATCTTGGACTCCCCCGCATCATTCTTCGCATCAAGGTCTTCCAATTTTTTGCGAGCATTTGTTAAGTTGAAACTGACAACTTGTCCAGTTTTCCTAGAAAATGGGACACATTTAATCACTGTGGAAGAAGTTTTTACTGAGAACAGAGCGGAAAGACATACCTATTAACAGTGCGACCATATATATCTTCCCGAAAATTATCTGCGGCATTGTCGTCACCATATTCTTCCTAGAATTTAAGCTACCCCATGAGTATGGGAGTCGCGATCCGCAGTACGTCACATGCGATTGTACAACTACTCACCTTATCTGAGTGTTCTCCACTACTGCTAAGATGGCTACAACCCTTATCATTAACATGATTAGATCCCTCATTGTCAGATCCACTGCTAAAAGAATCGTGTTCATGAAGATATGTCGACTTATCACCTTCATCTTCAATGTGGTCCTCTTCACCGCTAAGATCGGATCCTGACGAAAAAATTTTCTTAAACCGTCTACATTACTGATGGGTAAAAAAAATGGCACAATTTCGAAACCTAGCATGAGAATGCAGCAAACATATAGCGAAAATTCACCCTTTAAAGCTATTTCTTGATCAGTAGAAGAAGCCAGAATACTTTTTCGAAGACCATTATCACAAAAGTCGAGTAAATCTGCAAAAAAAAACCTCATGAAAACTCGAGCGATGTGATGACTCCAGGATACTGCGTAAAAGGATAAAGCTCTCGGCGTAGATCAATCCTGAGGGATGCTCCATGCATTCGACTTCCCTAATCATAGTTGGAGGTGACTAAATACATATCTGGCCTTTACAATGACTCGTGGTAGCCTACCGATGTATCGAACCAATGCTGCGGTCCCCCCAGACAAGTCTGGTACCAATTCGCCGACCCCGGGGGGTTGGAAGGCTTGGTTGGCCAGGGGCGCCGGAATAAGAATCGATCTCATGTGTACTGCAGAGCGCCTCCGACCACTGCGTAACTCGAAGACATATACCTCATAGGAAGTAATTACAGACTCAACTTACAATCTAATCCGTCATTAGAAAAAGATTTCGGCATCCTGGCCTTCACGCCTTCCTTGATTCCAAGCAGCTTTGAATATCGATGGATTTCAATATCATCCTGCTGCCCATCATCACTTTCCATAGCAAGTTTGCGTTTCTTATCCTTGGTAGAAATACACTCATAACATACCACTTAACAGCATACACGCACCAACCACAAATTTACCTGTACTTCTTTAAGGTATTGTTCATAAGTAAGATCTGCATCGGAGTCAGACTCATCTTCGGTCTGAGATCCCTTTCTCCATCGAATCCCTTGAGACATCTTCTCAACGCCTTTCTCATCATAACTGTCAACTCTTGCCTTCTCCTGTCGCTCCATTCTTGCAGCCTTTTTTCTCTGTCTTTTACTTTTACTTCTGTCACGGAAAGCTTCTTCCATGACTTTTTCAATCTAAAAACAAATATTTACGTAATTAGACACATAGTTACTCTTCATATACAAAAACAAATATTCTGACATGAGACAAACCGGTTGGTGCCTGGCAGCAGCTACATTCCCAAGCTTTTTCAAGCGTTTTGCTCGTTTCCTATCTTGTTTTCTGAACGAAAAGGTGCCTCCGTTGTGATCAGACTTAACCACTACCATCCATTTCTTTAAGCTCATTCTAAATGTAGTCTTAAAATACCACACTGCATAGGAATAAATATTCGAATCTCTGATATCGATGGACTCCACGTGACATATTTAGTGGAAGACTCATAGAAGGAGGCTCTGAGGAAGGCGAAATCCGCCGAAACACTAGTTTGTGCGTAAATAAAGAAATGAAATAACATCTCGTATTTGCCAAACATAAACATAAAGATTCGAATGCTTGAAATTGAACAAAAGTAATACTTTATTTATATATCCTTACGAAGTGCCCTTGATGAGCTGATGAAAAGAATATGTTTGAAAAATAAGATGGGATAAGGGTGTCGAGAAGAGTTTGAGACATCGGGGAATACGATTGTGCGTAAGATTAATAACAGGAGATGTGGTCACATATTTTCAAGTTCCGCAACAGTACACAGATTGAGTGCAAAGGCCTCCGACAGAAGCTCAATGGATCTAGGTTTACAACGGTTTTTGTTCTTTACACTTTTCCAAATATGGGAACACTATCTAGATTCGTTCTGGAGTGTTTGAAATCCATAAACTTAACGAGCAAAGGTTTTACGAGACCATCGCGGACGCGTGTTCAATTTAACGAACAGTTAGAATTGTACTATAACGTCGTTAAGGGAAAATGAGGCTTTTATTTGGAGAAGATTGCTGAAGAGTTTTGCCGAGAAAGAGGGAGAAACAACTAAGCAGCTAATTAAATAGCTGTTTTCGACAATATTTTTATAGGTATTTGTAGCCTAGGGGAGTAGTAACGCAGTGATTAGAGGTACCCTGCACCAGAGACATAGTCTTTGGTTCGATCCAGTCCCCTGGGCGTAAGTCCTCCATCTCTCTGGATGCAGCAAATTGATACCAGACTTTTCTGGGAGGAAAGCAGCACTGACTTGGTACATAGATAGCCTATCGCTAGTCATTGTGTAGGCCAGATACGTCTCTAGTCACCTCTAGAGATGCTTAATGAAGTCGAATGCATGGCGCATCCCTAAGGGTTTGATCAACGCCGAAAGCTATATCTCTTATTTATCCTTTTATATGTAGCCCATTCTTCCGTTTTGATTACTTCAGATATGCTCCCAAAGAACCGGTAAGTAGCTCATGGTTTTACGTGTTCGGTTATCAATCATAGAGCGATATATAAACGAGTCGTATCCCACATCGTCGGTCATATAGAGCATGAGCACTTCCTCACTTGGTGGAGAAGCAGCTAATCTCCATAACGTGTGGGAGGTCGAAGCTAATGGTCGAGAGAAGATCTTGGAAGCTAAGGATCGTCGTGTTCGAAGAATAAATGAAGCTCGCTACCTTGCGCGCGTCGAGATCGACAGATTCAGAGAAGTTTGAAGACTTCTTTGCAAATACTTCGCTTTTATTTTTACATGACCCCTCATCACACCTACGGTGCGGATCCCAGTATTGCTCGCATTCGATTCGTTCTCGCCTTCATTTTCCACGAAGATCATTGAACACACCGCGTGCTGTTTCAGCTCCTGCTTAAAGATTTCGTCTTCTTTGTAAATCTCGTAGAACACTGACTGAGTCGATTCTCTTTGTAATTTTGGGAATACCCGAGCTAAGGCGTTTTCCCACGTGAACTGGAAGAGGGGATTGGGAATGGTCGAACTAGCGCCTTTTGCTTCTCGATAGACTGCATTATTAACCATTTCGCTCCTCCCCCCATAATTTATTATAGATTATTTATTCATAATTCACTTCAGCCAACTAATCAATGACTAGCGTTTCCATTTTAGGAAAAGGAGGAACAATTCCAATCTAAGTGTGCTTCATTTAAAAAGGAAAACGAAAAGCAAAAGGAAAGAATAAAGGGTGCTGTCGAAAGTGAGCTTGCTCACATGGAAGCCAGAGTTAAGCTGTGCAAGCACTTGGTAACAATATTTTTACCAACTTTTACTAGAACGTCCAATTATGGAATGTTCGACTACATATAAGGGAACGTGTAGCGCTAGGGGATGCACCCTACAATACACATGTGATCGACCTCATTCTCCAGGCCCACAAAGCCCTCCTTCCCTCCAGAGTTAGCAAATTGGTACCAGACTTGTCTGGGCAGCACTGGCTCGATACATCGATAGGCCACCGCGAGTCATTGTGAAGGCCAGACATGCATTCATTCACCTCCAAACGATGCTTAAGAACTCGAATGCATAGCATATCCCTCAGGGATTGATCAACGCCGAGAGTAATGTTAACTCTGTAATGTTCTGCTATTCCAAACAACTACCAGATCGAAAGCACAACTTGTTCCCTCTTTTCATTAGTCTCTTAGTCTCCAAACTTATGGAAAATCCTTAAGCCAACTTTCATCTGTTGAACGGCGATAATTCTTCCTATACCTTCAACAACTTTAGGTTATCGAATTACTCGAAACCCTAGTGGTTACTGCTAAGTACGCAATTCATCGCAATGTAGATGCTCGACGCTGGATTGTAGGTATCGATAAGAGACCCACAATGCCACCAAATAGACGAGCATGTGACCAGGTAAGTTCACTAATGAGTACAAATCCTGGAAAGAAACGTGCTTCTCAGCATTACTTCTATTTCACAGAATACGTGGGAAACTCTGAAGAATTACGTGTCCCAATGTGAGCGACTGGCGTCGCAAATGAATCTCAACAAGGGAGATGTTAGGAAGAAATAAAGCATCCTCAGTAATTATCGGATTAAAATGCGACAATACAACAAGTAGTGCAATAAAGATCTTTACTTATATCTACAACTATAAGAAAACTCAGAACTAAGTACAAATGAAAGATGTAACAATGCAAGGACACATTGTGACCGCAGACGTTTACATATAACTCAAAAGATCGACTTCCTATAAACCTCTGCATAAACAGTCAATATATCTCTTTGTAGGTTCTTATGAACTGATCTTGTTGAGCTGATGCAAGGTTGGTACAAGTTGTGGTTGTCGTTACTGTCGTCGTTGTTATTGTTGCTGCTGGAAGACCCACTCGTAACAGCACGGCTCTGAGGAAGGCAAAATCGCCGAAACGTCAGCCATCAACCAAAAACAACAGCAACAACAACAACCACAACTTATACCAACCTCGCATTAGCCCAACGTGATTAGTTCATAAGGACCTTTAGTTACATGTATAATTTTAAAACTCTAAAAACATTCAAAACCAAGTTCTACCTTGTTAAACTCCTAGTCATCTTCATGAGCTTAGAAATACTATAAATTACACTTCGAGAGAATCCTGCTGATGCAGCATTTTTAAGGGTTTGTGAAAGCGCGGCAGGAGCAACAATGGACGAGATTGCAGATGAAACGTGGGTAGAGACATCATGACGATGTGCTAACGAAAACAGTACCTAAATACGTCAGTTTGGATAACAAATAAGCTAAATTCCACCTAAATATCAGTTTCTGAAAATGATGTTGCACTAACAACCTAGACCGGCTCATAAAAATTACTTACGCGACTTTCTAGATTACATAAATAATACAAATGTCTTGTAATAATAGTCTTACTTCCTCAGTATCCTTTTGCAGCTTGTTCCTTTTGTTCCAATTCCTTTTGACAGCGTTTAAAACTGTTGATGGCAGCAGATTTAAGCGATGATAAATAGCAGAAGTGGAACCATCTTGCAAAACCTCAATTGAGACCGATTCTCCCAGAGAGGCTATTTTTAAATGCCAACTCACATTTCCATTCTGGACAACGAGCTTAGAGTCATTAGCTAACAAAGGACCATATATATCCGACAACTCCATCATGCTACCATGTACGATTTTTTTCACCTAAAACACGGTAGATTGAAGCCAAGAACCTGAAGTTGAACCAACTATTATACATCCGTTTAGGAACAGAAAGTAATACCACGAAGTACATGTGTACCTTAATCAAGATGTGCTATTAAGTCAGAAAGACACCAATGAGTGAGAAAATTGGACATAGAGTGTTTCCACCATCACATTAGGAAGAAAGAAGAAAAAAGTTCTAAGTTTATAGAACCCACCTTGCCTCTGTCTTCTCCAATAAACATCCTAAAGTCGCCTGAGTACGACAGAGAGACGATTTTTTCGTAAAGTTCTTCCAAAGGGAACGAATCAGGGAGCAACAGTAATGCTGTATGGAGAGCACTACGTCTGTTCTCTTCGAGGTTACTTTTGATTGCAGCTGTTGGTCTTACCACCAAAAAAATAACAATGATCAAAGAAAAAATAGTGCTAGAACTCGTGTCGTCGTGAACAAGCTCCTTATAACAAACAAAAAGTAAAAATTATGTTTCGATAAGGTAGATAGAGCTAGAAACTCACGTCTAAAACTGGCTTATGAAGACGCCCTGAAACATACAACCACCGCCAGTCCAAGAGGTCTTGATTCAGGTTTTCCGTTGTAACAACACCATATTTCATTTGACGTCTGCCAACTTTCACATGAGTGTTATAATAAACTCGAGCAGCCAGTCCAGTTTGAAATCTTGATAACGGCTTAGCGCCAATCCACCTGTAATTCCCGATAAGGATAAAGGATAAAGCTCTCGCCGTTAATCAATCTCTGAGAGGTGCACCATGCACCCGACTTCACTAAGCATCTTTAGAGGTGATCGAATGCATATCTGGCCTTTACAACGACTCGCGGTGGACTACCGATATACCGAGCCAGTACTGCTACCCTCCCAGACAGGTTTGGTACCAATTTGCAGACCCCAGAGGGATGCAAGGCTTGATGGACCAGGGGCACGGGAATTGGTCCCATGTGTATTGCAAGGAGCTTCGGGCCACTGCGCCACATGTGCCCACCCAATTGTTACTAACGAGATTTGTTACGTAATAAAGTCGACAAACCTTAGAAGGCTATAATGTGATGGATTCTTCTGGATATTTTCCGTATGGAAGACGACAGGATCGTTGGTGCTCAGAATGAAATCTATCATTTTTTCCGCTTTGTTCTCGTCTTTCTGTTGAAGTGCGCCCGATCCATAAGCGAAAGCATATTCGACAGTGGATAAAGGAAGTCTCTCAAGCAGCTCCTCGTACTCTTTTAAAAGCATCAACTTAAACAAGAACTAAAGCATCCGTAATTCTCTTTCAGCACATTACAAACACGCGAGCTTCTCTTACTCTTTAAGAAATCTCTGGATGTAAAACTTTAGCAACTTTATCTTCACAAAATTTAGTCCAGAAATTTCCAGACGGATATAATTTAGCACATCAGGCCACTTTGTTATACAAATTACAGCGGTGCTAAGGTCCTGCTTAGTATGGCAAGGTATGGAACCCCATTCCAATACATTGAATCAAAAAATTAACTAATCTATACATTTGATATCAAATAACACTCCGAATTAAAGTGTCTATAGTGAAGTCAGTTATTCCGGAATAATGCGAACTATCTATTACATTGCTCCCAACGGTTCACCGCCTCGTGGCTGGGAGGTGTCCCTGGACTGCGATGTACAGCGGAGGGACTCACCTCCCTCTCGCAGAGTCTCCCACACTGAGTCCGGCGTTTCCATTAGAAAGTCAGCTAAGAGTAAACCAATGCCGGAATTCACCACCGTCCTGGTATCAAACTAGCGACTGCCTGTGGTCGCCACGAACTGGGGCAGATTTTGGTTAGCTAAGCTCGGGACGGCAGGAAACCATAATAGCTAAGCCAGCAAAACTCCCAAAAAATGGAGAATATGTTGGGCCCACACAACCAGTGAGGACGGGCCATCCAATTATCTAAGTAGGTCTATAATAATGAGTAAACACATGGCTCTATTGATCGACCAGCATAATTATTATACAATGATGTAAAATACATTAAAGAACACAAAGCAAGGTTATGCTGAGGACAAAGCCCACCGATTCAAAACATCCTCTTTCACGAAAGTAAGCCAGTGTAGACACAATCTGAATATTGCACTCAGCTGTCGTAATTTATGCCGCTGAAGAGGGCAGTGCAGATGCTTTCCATAATTTCACGCCTAAAATATACCTATGTTCACTGCTAGCAGCCAACAGTTTTGCAGTAGGTAACAGCTTCTCTATTCGAATAAGAAAATCCAGAGCATTGTGAGTATCTTGCCTAGCTTAATGAAGCTAATTCGCGATTCCCTTTCAGTACTGGGTGCCAGTTGCAAGACTAGACGCGTCTCCAGGTGACGGTTGTAGGATTTCGGAGATGAGCTCTTTGTTTCGGCTGCAAGGACTTGGCACACGCCTTCTGCCACTATGTAGACGTGTGCATGCATGCGTACATGGGTGTAGGTGTATATGTAGACTGTACTTTACACGGCCAAAAGCCTCCCATCAAGCATCTGGTAAATGCGTGTGGGCGGAGTGGGAGACACCTCCAGCGAATAGATTCCATGTCTATTTTGAGAGAATCTAGCTTGGTACACGTAAGTACATCCGGCTCGAAATGCAAAACGTTAGAGAGCTATACCTGGGTATCACTCGAAGCCGCGCGTCGAAGGCAGTAAAATAAATGCGTCTCATTCGCCTCACTTCGAAACGGCTTAGCAATGCGGTAGCGTTAGGTAGGAAGAGCACTGAGAAACTCCTATAGTCTCACTGGCATTCTACGCTGTGCCTAAACTGGAAGGACTAATTTGATGATCTGTACTTATGACGCAAATACGCTAGCATCTAAATTCTCCACTTAGGAATTCGTCGTTTTCTTGTTCAGCAATCGCCAGGTTGTTAAACAGCATACATTTACTTCCGTAAAAAAACATTACAATACAACAGTAGTTGACGTTTCGGCAGTATCGCCTTCTTCAGAGCCTGGAAGGGTATACTGATGTACAATCTACTAGGCCAAACGCTTCAATAACACTTACAAAAAGAGGAAAACTCTATGATATATTTATTCATATGATGTTGTAAACCGATCTTCTTAAGCTGATGCGAGGTTGGTGCAGGTCTTCGTTGTCGTTGTCGTGGTTTTTGATGTTGTGGGTCGATGGCTGACTTTTCGGCGACGTCGGCTTCCTCAGAGCCTGGACGTATTTTATACTAGAATATTTTTATTATTCGGTGGAGAAAAGGTCAAAGTATTAATGAAGATCAAACTTTCAAATAGACGCCATATTGAACAGAAAGGCCACTCACCGTGATGTTACGTGTGGGACTGGCCCACGCGTTGTTTTCGTGGAGTCGCGAACAAGACACACCCTGGGGTCAAAATATCATTTTGAAATAGGGCGCCAGGTCACGCGTGATAGTAAGGCATTCGTCCTTCCGGTTCATCTTTGGATTTTTGAAATTTATCCAAAACGCCTCAAGAGTTTTGCGCGTTGATGTTTTTGATTCCTGCGCTAGGATCCGCACATTGACTTCAAAATCATCGCCGTTGTGCTTTTGTGCCCTATGCGTACCTAGAGGGGTGTTTAAACGGATTTTAGCTTTCCCATCTAGATGTTCTTTTATGCGGACACAAAGTGGTCTACCCGTTTCCCCGATATATTCCGCGCCGCATGCATTACATGAGATCAAGTATATTATACCTAAACTCATGCAATCCCCGTCTCTCCCGTTAGGACAGATCACACAATTTTCTGAGCTGCACAAACGATCATAGAGACGGTTTCGAACTAACTGGCGGCGTAGGGTATTGGGTGGGATGTCAACAATCGTTACATAATTTTCAAGACCACTTTTTCTTAAGCACTTTTTAATGGCGTGACTTACTTCATTTGATATGAAGGGCAGCTTAAAGGGAATCTTATTTTCGTCTGAAGTATTATTTTGGGGAACTACCCAGTGTTTTCCTCTAACCCGAGTGGCTTCTACTTCGTAGCCATTGGAAATGGCAATTTTTCGTGCCAGGTTTCGCGATTCCTTCCTTTCCTCTTCTCCTGTGCACACATTTTTAGCCGTACGATACATATTTTTGATAAGTGCTTTTTTCATGTGTGAAGGATGAGAGGAGAGGCAGTGGACTAGAATGTTTTTACTACTTGGCTTGCGATACCATTTTGTTAAATAGCCACTTACTGAGAGTTTTATTTGAATGTTTA